CAGGACTAGCCCCGCCCCCTCGTGCCGCGTGCCCAGTCCCGGCCGCGCGCTGTGCGTGGCCCCCGCCGCCGCGGGGCTGTCGCGAGGTGTGCGTCGGCGGCGCTCCGTGCAGTTCTCCGTGCGCTCCGGATTTTAAAAGTTTTTTATTATGCATTATATCAAATGACCACTGTCCGAGTGGAAATTAAACTTTATGTAGTTTTTATATGTTGTAATATTTCTTCAAATAAATCTCTCCTATAAACCTCCCTGGGTGCCGACTCGTGACTGACGCAGGGGGTGGGGGCTCGCGCTGCACCCGGATCTGTCTGGGGGAGGGGGCTCACCTTGCGACTCGGTCTTGGTCAATGAGATCGTCCTTGTTAGCCCTTTGGGTCTGGAATGGGCTGCGAGGCTTGGTGATACAGCAGCCATTCTGTGACCTTGAGGACCTACGACCAGAGCAGTGGATAGTGCAGCAAGAGACGGGGTTGCCCCTGAGCTGCCCTCCGACCCCCGTCCCGCCCACCCCCAAACCAAACCCCTCATCTGCCCGAGTTTGTTAGCTGGACTTTGCAGCATCAGCCCGGCTCAGGCCTCTTGGATTCTTTACTTTCTTGTCAGAAGGAGAAGCAGAGAGGGGTCCTCCATCCGCTGCTTCTCTCCCCATATGCTCACAGCAGCCAGGGCCGGGCCAGGCGGGAGCCTGGAGCTCCACGCTGGTCGCTGAGCCCGAGCCGTGAAGTGCTTTCCAGATGCAGTAGCAGGAAACCGGCTTGGAAGCGGAGGAGCCGGGTCTTGAACCCGACTCACAGCAGCCTGGGGGGCGGGGGTCACTGTGTGGACCAACGCTACCTGCACTTCCCTAGACGGCCACTTGGTGGCGCTTGCACCACAGCCTCACCCAGGGGAACGCCAAGTTTACAAAACCCTTGATTTCCTGCCCTTCCAGCCGCAGGGCCCTGAGCGTCCTTGCGCACTCGGCCCTGCTCTCCTTGGACGGGAGGCTCCGGCGCCGTTGGGTTAGCGGGAAGCTGGGATTCGAAGCGGAGCTGGGGCAGAGCCTCCGCCACTTCGGCAGGGGAGCCGGCGCGCCCCAAGCTGTGTCTGAACGGCTGCCCGCCCCAGCGGTTTCTTTTTTAAAGATTTTATTTTACTTATTTGGAGGGAGAGACAAAGGTCTTCCATTCACTGGTTCACTCCCTAAATGGCTGTAACGGCCGGAGCTGAGCCGATCCGGAGCCAGGAGCTCCATCCGGGTCTCCCACGCAGGTGCAGGGGCCCAAGGACTTGGGCCATCCTCCACTGCTTTCCCAGGCCACAGCAGAGAGCCGCATCGGAAGTGGAGCCCCGTGGCGTGCCTCCCGGCTCCCTCCTGCCCGGGCTCCACCACCCCGGACGGTGCTGTGGCTGCCCTGGGCCGTGGTGTCCAGCAGTCAGCCTAGTACTTGCTGTGTCCACACAGAGAGCTTACGTTGTCTGTGCCTCCACAGCTCGTCCATAACTGGACGTTAGCAGACGTGGCAACTCCAGGAGCGGGTCCTGAGCCTAGCGGCTGTCCCCGGGGCCCCATATCGGAGCTCCTGCAGCACCCTGGGAGGCAGGAGGTGATGACGGCTCAAGGAATGGGGTTCCCACCACCCCTGTGGGAGACCCGGATGGAGTGCTCGGCTCCTGGCTTCGGCCTGGCCCAGATGTGGTTGCTGTGGGCATTTTTAGGGGGTGAGCAGTAGATAGGACATCCCACTGGTGTCTTTGCCTCTGAAATAAAAATTCGTTTAAAATTGGGTTGTTTGAAACTCTCCTGTCAAGTCTTTTTAAGAAAGGTATTTATTAGCAAGGCAATTAGATCTTCCATCTGCTGGTTCACTCCCCAGATGTTTACAACAAGCAGAGTCCTGGGCCAGCCCAACACCAGGATCCAGGGGCTTCTTCCGGGTCTCCCGCGTGGGTGCAGAGGCCTGAGCCCTTTAACCGCCATCCGCTGCTTTCCCAGGTGC